TTTTTACGTATGAGACCACATCTTGAAAGCATCTTAAATGAATTGGAAATTTTTTTGCACTCAATTAAAAAATTCGTTTGTCAAAAGCTAATTCCGTGCAAAATATAAATTTTAGTCAAAATAATTGTTTTTAATTATTTTATTCAATGATAGTCTAAAAAATTTTGAATTTAAGTTAAACAATTTTAAATGGCAAAGCGCAAAATTTTAACGAAGTCAATCGAATAGCTCTTAATAATGTGACTTTTTCAAAATTCAATTTTTCAGGAACTATTCGATCCATTCTACTCAAATGTTGTATTTTGCCATTTAAAATTTCCTTCTTTAAAATGTCATAAAAAATTGTGTACTGTAATAATCAAAAATTTTTTGGCTATTATAAAATAAAATTTTAAAAAAGTAAATATTTACTAAAAGTTATATTTTGCAAAGAATTATCTTTGGATAAACGAAATTTATGTTTGTATGCAAAATTATTTTAATTCGTTTTAAAAGTTCTCAAGACATGGTGAAATACTCAAAAAGTCAAATTAACATTAAGGTGTCTAAGCTTTGGACTCAGACCTCACTATTGGGACGATTTATTTCGGATTGCGAATACCCGTTGGACGGCTCGTTTGACCAACCTATTATTAGGACCATATTTTCCAGAGTGCAGCTACGCCCTACATTTTGTGGGTCAGAAATGTGCATCCGTCGAGAAAAGGTATGTTTTTCAGAGAAAGTACGTTTTATTTTTGTCTAATTTAATAACTTAAAATATGGTTTGCATTAATTAATTAACATATTTGAGATCCTTTTAACCCTTAAGATTGAGTTCAAGAACGTAAATATCCGATCATTAGATCATCTCGCAGTAGAGTGAACTTTAAGACACGGTTCCCAGTAGAACACCGAAGTCAAGGATCACTGACTACGGTCAGTGTGTGGATGGGTGATCACTTTGATCAACCTACAAAGGAACCAAAGGTGTGCGGTATCTATCCTAATTAAACTTTTCAACCATTAAGATCTCGATTTCACTCGCAGGTCGTCAAGCAGGAGATCCATCCCCTCTGCAGAGGATCAAAATTGTGTTGACATGTCTTCATATCATCCTCAGGAATGTTTCCCAACTCTACACCAATAGCCCATTGTTCATCGTTAGTGCGACATAGACCAACAAAAACAACCGATCATTAGATCAAAAAATTTTCAGAGTGGTCTGCTTTTTGTTTTCAACAAATAATTTATTCATTCTACGTTCATATGACATACAATGTACTCACGTGTGCATGTACTATATGCATGTACTATTTAATAACAATGTTATTCATACAACGATATTTAAAGTGACCACATAAATATAATTATATACTGCGTGTGTATGCATGTATTTTTACTTATACGTGTGTATGCATGCATTTTTATTTATACGTGTATATGCACCTGTATACATATAATGTATGCATGCATTCCTGTAGGTACAATATACGTTTGTGTCTATGTACGTACATACAATTCATGTGTATATGCATAAAATTTCATTCAATATACGCAAGTATGCTCACAAAAATTTCCTCTTATTTTTCAGAGAAAGGAGAATATCTGAAGAGGAAGTAATTCATTTTAATGAGGATTGTTTCGCTAATTCCTTCATGTTAAATATGTTGTATATTCACTGGTGGTTATTATACCTATAATATCATTTGTTTATGTATTAACGAAATAGTTGATTATGGTGTATCTGTTTTGTATTATTCACTAATGGTAATTATACAGATAATATTTTTATATAACAAAATACCTAATATAATTATGGCATATCTGATTTGTACTAAGACACTTGTCATATACTAATTGTTATGATAATCATAATATTTATTTGTTGTTTTGTGTTAAAAAAATATGTTTGGAGCTTCTACATTCATTAAACGATTTCTTTTAAAAAAATATTTTGTTATCATTACGTTTCCTACATTTATCATATCATACATATTAAGTAAGAGATAAATAATCAGTTGCATTTTATTTATTTTGACAGAAGAAGATATTTCATGTTAATTTTCTTTGATATGCAAAAAACTGAACATTTTTGCACTCATCAAAACTTCTCACACCGCATAAATTTCCGAATAAGAAAGACGAAAATATGCAGACCCTCTTTAAGTATTACATATGTTCTATTTATTTTATGCTTTCATTAATCAAATCGTCAAATAAAAAAAAATTCATATTAATCGATATTTTAACTTGTAAATCTCTAAGTTCTAAAAGCAAAGTAAGTCAGGCTGATAAAAAATGACTGTTTTCCCCAAAATAATCAAGCAAAATAGATGGAAATGAGAATTTTTCTCGGATTGAGAAGCTATAAGAAGTAAAATATAAAACGAATAATGAAACGCGCCGTCACACAATCGTGGAAGAGATGACATCACGTTCAGAATGACGTTTTAGCTGACGTACACTAGCAATAGTATTAAATTGCATTGTCAATGAAACTCTCATGACAAGGTAGATTTTAGATGACCATACGAAACGCTGCAAACGGAAACCTTATAATTATGTAGATTTAGGATGATTTTCATCTTAGAACTAGGTTATTCAAGGTTTTTTTTTCACTTGAAAACCCTAAAACAACCTCGTTTTAAGGTTGTTAGGCAGAAGGTTTTTTTCCAAGGTTTTGGATTAGGGTAATGTGCGTAGAATAGAGCAGATTGTCGCAGACCTCGTTTTAAGGTTAGAAGGTTTACACGTAAACCGTGTAAAAAACCCTTTTTAGGTTTACATGAAAAGGTTTTTGTTGGGAGAAAAAAACCTTATATTGCTATCTGGGATTGGCTTAGTTATCAGCAAATTTGCCAAAACTTTTTTTTCAACAATTTGTATAATATTTTAGAATTATTTGAATAGTGACTTCCTATTTTTATCTAAGAACTATTTAAAAGTTTCTAAAAAAAATTATATACATAAGACTTGATAAAACATACTTTTTTGAATTCTTACCCTGGACTAATTTTTTAAAAATAGTGCTGGTCATGATTTTCCTGCTCTCAAAATTATTCCAATTGACTCTACTATATCTAAAAAAAGGTATGGAAAATTTGAGCTATTAACAGGAAGAGTCTTAAGACACAAATCTTAAATGAAAGTCAAGGAAAATATTAACAATAAATAAAGGTTTTCTATGTGTGACATTATCATTACGAAAAAAATTTTGAAATTTACCTTTTATTACCACTATATTTTCTGGCCTCTTTTTGTCCTGTCTTCTTTTCAAATGGAGTGACATGCGGTTGATGTTTTTCAACATTTTGCGGAAAATATTCATTATCATTTGAATCTTGTTTTTCACTATCTTGATCACTGTAACTTGATATTAATTCATTAACAGAATTCGGTTTTTGGGGAAAGGATTTATTGCTCTTATAAACTTGAGAATATGTCTCAGATGGAGAAGATGATTTTATAGTAATTTCAATCAAACTTTTTGGTGATTGAAATGAACTAGCAGATTCGGAACTTTGTTGTTTAGTCCCATTTTCAAGATTTTGTTTCTCTGTTTGTCCTTTTATTAACTGCAAATTAATGACTGTATCTGAAAAGGAATTATTTGTTTGAAGTAAGTTTACATCTGCAAACTCAGAAACAGTACATGGATGAGAATCACAGGTTGTTGGCAATACAAGTATTGCTTCTGAGTCAATATTACATGAAGAGACAACCTGCATATCAGACACTTTATTAGTTTTTGAAATTAAGATCCTAGAAATAAATTCATTTTCTGAAACAAAGTCATTTTCGAGCATATTTTTGTAAATGTTTTCATCTGTAGCTGTTTCTTTATTTACAGGTTCATTAAGTAAATCAGCTTCAGTCCCTGTTAAAGATAATAAATCAGACATACCCTTGTTAAGAGTTTCATCATTATTCAGATTTGGTGCTCCTATGGTTTTATCAGCTAGGCATTTACTATTGCAGATTTTTAGATTTAACAAATTACAACAATCTTTTTTTAAAACATCTTTATTTCCTTCATTCAAAGAAATTTTTTTTAAGGGGACAGATATTGATTCAAATTTAGAATCACTTTTAGATAATTTTGGCATAACTGCGATATTGGCAAATATCTCTTTTGAGCAATCAGTTGATTCCTCAACTACATTATCAAGTTTTTGATCAGGTCTTTTGTACAAAATTGATGCACTGTCCCTATTCTCCATATTTTCAAAATCTCTGAGTATTTCAGCTAATAATTCTTTAGAACTAGTTTTAATTCTACTTTCTGAATCTTTATAAGTCTCTTCAGAAAGAGTTTCAAGTTCGTTTTCTTTTTTAGATAAATCAGTTTTCGGTAATGAGATGTTAGCAAGAGAAGTGTTTTCCAAGTTATCCTTTGATTCTGTTGTAGGACTTACCTTTTCCATGTCTGGCATCAATGTACCCATATTACTTTTCAGAGCTGATATATCGCCACAGTTTCCTATGTTTTCAAAATCTCTGAGTATTTCAGCCAATAATTCTTTATTAGAATTTGTTTTTTCTATATTTCCAGCGTTAAAAGCTTTGTTAGTAATAAGTTCTGAATGGTAACCTGTTTTTGAAATATTGACCTTTACACTGGATAACTTTTTATTCTCAAAACTAATCATAGAATTATTTATCACATTCTTTACTGGTTTAACAACACGAGTTTTATTAAATAATTCTGTTTGTGGAACAGGTGTGACATTAGATAGTTCTAAATGGGTCAAATTTCTATTCAAGTTTTTGTTAAAATCAATCACATCATCTGTTGTAGTAGAGAGTATGGTAAATGTTTCCCATGAAGATTGACTTTCAGAGATACTTGAAGCATATTTTTCCAGATTTTCAAAATCATCGCATACTTCTTCTAGTAATTCTCGGGTACTTTGTTTTAATTTTTTCCCATGAAAACGATCTTTGGCAGCCACTTTAAGATGTCCTAAAGAATTTGGTGAGCTATCTTTTCCTTCAACTTCCATTTTTATTAGAAAAACAAGGACTTAAATTTATATGGATATAATTTATCCTGTTTCACAATTAACAATGGGCAAGACAGCAATAATATTTCTTTTTAAGACCTTCATAATGACACTTCTGAAAATAACAAATATTTTATACAAGTTAATAAATATTAAATTAGAAATAAATGTTTCATATGTAATTAAACAGATTCAACGGCATTAGATTATATTGAAACCATTGTTGGGGAAAAAACATACGAGATACAAGTTTAAAAAAATTTTATACAAGTTAATAAATATTAAATTAGAAATAGATGTTTAATATGTAATTAAGCAGATTCAACAGTATAAGATTGCATTGAAACCATTGTAGGAGAAGAATGAGAAAACAGAAATCCTTTATTTCACTCGTAATCCAGATACAGTGAAACTTCACGTTACGAACACTCCTAGAAAATGGATGCCTCTCATTATGGAAATTTTCTTTAATTTCTTATGAATTTTCTATGAATAAACCATTATGTACCCTCTAGGCAAAGCGGACACTCCTGTCACCAGATACAGAGTTATTTATACTCCGAAACATTTTCTATCTCTTCAAATCAGGCACCACTTTTTCTAAATGTGAAAAACAAAAACATTTCAACTTCAAATTCTAAAAAAAAAAAATTTGCATCTTCTTACTATTTTTAAATATGTAAATTTTTTGCCTTATCCATAATTAAAAATATTGTAAAGGTATTTGGCCACTAGATAATCATTCGTTCTCCTGTCATCTTCCTTTGTCCTCCCACAAAGATGTGAGAAAATGAGATTGTTTATGTGAAATATTATCAGGGGTCTGTCTAGGTTTTTCTGAGAGGTACCTATTTTGTGAAAATTTAGGCATAATTTGTGAAAATTAAAAATTATATTAAAAAATCAACACAAAAAAATATTGGAATAATATGGATTTATTGTTTCTTACGGGATAAAAAAATAAAATTTTAAGAAAAAGTATTTTGTGAAACTACCACTAAATGGTGGTAAATTTGGCCTAGACAGACCCCTGATTATGGACAGCAACATCTTTTGATCTTTTCGACAGATTTAATGTGCATCAGTCACTTTATTACACGGGAAGTCTTCGGCTGGCGGGGTTCGAACTCTCGGACATGGGCCCAGTGCCCTACCGACCAGGCTATCCCGGCCTATTTCTCTTTTAGTTTACTTTTTTTGAAGAAAATTTATGCACTGAGATTGTCTTTTAGCTTGCTTTTAATTATTTTTTAAAAGCTTCAACTTTTTATGTTATTTTGATAATGAGTGAGAATTACTTTGTGAAATATATAATAAAAGGGTAATTTAAAAATTGAGGATCAAATTCCGTTTCACATAATATTACATATTGTGACGAATTTTAACAGTGTCAAGTGATAGCTTTTTCAAAACTCAAAGTGCCCTTTTTTATTCCTAGGGAGAACTCTGCTGTAGGGGAGAGTGGCTCACCTTGGGATACTTTTATTTTTGGTCTTAAATTTTAAATTATCTTTTAGTTCTTTTATATTCAGATAAATGTCAGCAGCATCTAACCTGGGAACATATTTTGATTCTATTGATTAAGCAGATAAGAATTTATTAAGATTTTTATTTTTGAAGCATGTTTACTTACTTTCATGTAAAAGTTTAATTAGTTGTAGAGAGAAATTTTAATGAAATTATTTTAATAAAGGATAATATAATGAAGTATAAAGCTTTCCCTTTAGAAGTTATCAAATTTAATTGTTCAAAAGAAAGCAGTGCCATGTTTTAACTTGTAAACCAGAACCAACTAGTCTCTCTCGAGCCACCAGCTTTAGAAAGGACTATGTATGTTTTAAGATAATTTTGAATTGATTCTCCAGCGTAAGAATTTTCAGGTAGTGAAATTTTTAATCTTGAAGAGTCAGGACTCACAACTGGTCCTGTACCACCAAAGGTTATTACTGGAAAAGGAGTAAAGCAGGTATGGCAAATAACATCAGGAGAGCGTGGTAAACTTATAACAATTATTTCTGTTATAAATGCCATTAGTAATTCAGTAAACACCACTTTTCATTTTCTCAACAAAGTTTTTTTAAACATATGCTAAAAGGGGCACCCCCTTGTACCATTGGGGCTGCAAATCCCAGTGGTTGGTCAACACCTGAATAAGTGAGACCATTTCAAAAGGCAGCACCTCAAAAGGAAAGTAGGGGCAAAAACGGGGAAAATCTGAGATTTATACAGACACACTTGAAAAAAAAGGTTCTTGAAGGTGCTATTAAGAATAAAAAGGAGTCTCAGGGAAAACAAAAACAATATATGAATAGAAAAGGCATAAAAGTGATTAAACAGCTTCAATTCAGCAGTAATAGCGAAGGTGAGAATTTAATGCTCTCAGAATTAGTGGGAAGATTAGTGAGAATCATCAGGAAGAAAACCAGTAATTAGTGATTTATGCAACGATAACAGTGATGATGATGCTTGCAGCTTAGATGAAATAAACAGTGAAAGTGACAACAAAATACTTAATGCTAAGAAAAAAGTTCATCTACAAAAAGGTAGTGAAACAAGATTACATGTTGGAGATTTAGCTCATATTAAATTTGCTGGGAAAAGATCTGTTGTTGCTTTTGTAGGTTGCGTTGAAAGAGTTGATGGAGACGAGTAGGAGTTATCAGTTATGAGAAGAATCACTCTTCAACGTTTATTTATCCCGAAAAAGAAGACTAATCATATATAAATTAAGATGACATTTTGATAAAACTTAAGCAGAGCAAAGCTTTGAACGTTCTTTAAGTTTGGTACTTGATTTTGGAGCAAAGCTTTGAACGTTATTTAGGTTTGGTATTTGATTCTGAACAATTGGATTTGCATACAAGAACTTGATGCTAACAAAATAAAGCTTTACTAACAAAATTATAAAATTTAAATTTATTTAGTTATACTATTTTTAGAAAATTTCTACTTAACTTTTCGCATCTGTTTAACTGTCCCAAGGTGCTCCACTAGGAGGTACACCTTGGGACAAATAACAAGGTACATAAGTACTTTTTTTTTTTAAATTTTTCTATGACAGATACAAAATCAAAACCTAGTTAAAAATGTTTTCAAATGTCATAAGAATAGCAGGTAAAATTTTGACAATGATTAATCAAAATAAAAAATTTAAAAAAAAGAAAGTAATAAAGTTTCCCAAGGTGAGCCACTTATTAAAGGAATGTAACAAATATTTGGACACTATTTGGAATTCAGCCTGTTTGCCCAACATCCGGTAAGTATTTTAAAGAAAAGTATTTTTCGAAGTTTTTTCTTTTAAATTTGAACAGATTAAATAAAGAATAATCTAAAATAAAAAATTTTTTACTATGCATTATCAGAAACAGTTTTTATAAACTTGTTAAGTTCTGAAATTCATATGCTAGAAAATTTATGTTCTGGAAGACAAATGAAAAAGCAAAATTTGAAGAATTGAAACTGAAATATTTTATACTAAACCACGTGTTTTGTACTACTGATTTTTTTAAAAGTTATATTCAGGCAAGTCAATTTGGTTGCTTTTTCAACACTTTTTTAATTTTAGGAATTGAGAAAGTTTTTTTTCTTCTCATTTTTGCCATTTTTCTGATTTTATATTAAAATGCAGCGTTTTAATGGAGCATTTCTGATATCACTATTCATTTATTGTCACTTTTTCCCTGTACAGTAAGACAGAGATAACTGGTAAAGAAAGCTGTGATTTTAAAATCAAAGTTATATTTTAAGAAATAACAATTTTTTTTTTCTGTTTCTCTCTTCTTTTTTATTAACTATCCTTTTTATCAGAATTTTTAGTGACACAGAATTTTTAAACATCGTTTCCAATGAACGTTATTCTTTCATCATCACTTTTTTCCAAAAATATGGCAATGTGAAAAAGTTAAATTGAGATTTTTAGCATTAAATTTTTGTTTAAAATTTCAGAATGTTTTTCTTTTGTTTCAATCTAGCTTTAACTTTTTTTAAAAAAAACTTTTGTTTTTAATGACATTTTTACTATGACACAGCAATTAAAAGGGTTTGTTTCTGTTAGATTTTATTCTTAATCTTTCTTGAAAATACAGTAATTTGAAAACAGAGATGTTCAGCTTTAAAATTTTCTTTGGAGAATTGAGATCTATTTTTATTTTTCGCTATTGTATTGTTATTGTTTTGCTAATCTTGGGTTTTTAACAGGGTTGGGTTTTTGACGTCAAAAAGTGGTTTTTGACATGACAAGGGTATAATACTGGTTTAAACCGTCAAAAATGTCAAAAACTGAAGTTTGCCAAGAAAATATATAAACTTCAAAACTTACCAACAGTTGCCATGCATTATATTGAAATTTAATTATACTATAGGTAATCAGCAGGTTTTAAAATATTTTTTAACTAAAATTAAGGTAAAATAACAGATTTAAAATCTCAGAAATTTATATTCAAATGCATGTGCAGAAAAATTTTGCACAAAATTTTTTTAAATATTTATATTTTGAAAAAAAAAATTTTTTTTTTTGATACTTAAGAAAATTAAAAGTTTATTACTATGCATTTTTGACATATAAGGAACATATAACTAATATTTATAAGGAACTTACAAGTTATGTTGTATAAATACAAACTTGATATAAGATACAAGTGTATAAAAATTTTTTTTTAATGTTATACCGAATATCTTTATTATCCAGTATGTTAATTTGAATTTAAAAGTAGTTATATTTGTGAATAATGATAAATATAATTCATATTGTTTATTATATTTATTTATAATTATTACACTTATCATTTTAAAACAATTTTTACCTCTTAATTTTTTTCCTCCACTTGTATTAAGAATACAAATAATGCATATCTTGAAAGCAAGAAGTAATTATTCAACAGCTGAATATTTAGATATTCAACAAAACTATATAGTATTCAGCAAAATGAAATTCACAAGTATTTGGATAAACTAAATTTTCAGCATAGTAAATGAATAGGCTGAATATACTGTAAATCGACACTAACTACTCTGTGTATTTAACAGAAAGCACTTAAATTTGTATTGTCTTATGTTAAAAAGATTATTAAGAAGATTTAAAAGAATATTAAAAAGATTTTTCTTTAAAAGATGTCTAATGTACAAAACTGCTAATGTTTATCTTTAAAAATGTCTAATTTTTAGTATAATCTATACTATACACTAAATTTGGTTATAAATAAATTTCTTAATAATATCACTGCAGATTTTCAATAACACATGAAAATGAATACATAATATTACAAAAGATGTGAGCTTTCAAAAGTACAAGATTTTGGTTACTATTCAAAATATAAGTGTTTCTTCAAAATTTTAAATTTATTTTTTCTAGAACATATTTAGAAACACTATCCTTTATAAAAAATATATAAATTTTATGTATTAATTAAATTTCACATATGAATATAGGTTTTTGACATTTTCGACAGTGAGGTTTTTGACGTGACGGTTTAAACCATGGTTTAAACTGTCAAAAACTGTCACATGTCAAAAACCTGCCAACCCTGGTTTTTAAAGACATTTTTATGATAATATGACATTTTAAAGAGCGTTTCTGATAGACTACATTTCTTTTAACATTTACTGGATATTTTTTTTTCAGAAAATATTATTTTTAGCAACAAGTTCATTTTTTTCTATTTCTTTAATGGAGGTTCAAAACTGAAGTTTTTTTTATAGCTGTTAATCAGTTTTTCATTCATCTTAAACATTTTTAATGAATATCTATTCTGATTTTATTACCCTTTCATCCCATACCAATAATATAGCTAAGTTATGATTAATTTTGAAGAATGACTAAACTTATTTATATTTAAAAAATAATATTTACTAATGATTTTTTTTAAAGAAACGTTGCTATTCGGCTGACGATGTTAGATATTATGCTAAGTGCTGCATTCAAAAAGTAAACTAACAAAGATAACCAGCTTTCAACTACTATCAACAAAATATGAATATAAGTCTGCATATTTCTTACCGTAGTCATTCATTTTTTATTTAACAATATTTTAACACAAAATGAAAATATCATCCTTCTTTAGTGCTATTCAAGGCTAATTACAAATGTCACTTTAAATTTTGATTATTATTTCAAATTAAAAGCTTAAAACTCATAGCAGAGTTCCTTTATAATTTCATCTTATAATGAAAACATCGTTAAAAATTAACTACCTTACAATCTTTGAACAGCAAAATAGGTCATATTTACTTTTGAATAAACTAAGTTAAACTATGTACAGTTGACATATGCAATAAAAAAATAAAATTTTAAAAAATTTTAGATTTTTACCAAATTATTTTTTTCAACTATAATTGGAAGGATCAAAGTTATAAACATTTAACAATTTTTCACAATAACCAAAAATATATGAAAGCATAGATGAAATTTGAACATAGATGAAATTGAACATAGATGAAATTTGAATGGTAATTGAAACAAAATGATTAGATTTAAATTATAACTATTAGAACCAAATATATATATATATAAATCTGTATGAATACAGTTAAGAAATTATAAGACAGACAATTTAAAAAATTGTTGGGGTCGTCTGATCCTATAATTTTTAACTTCATGGAAGAATCTGCATGCAGTTCAAAGGTAAAGATGAGTGGGCAGTAATCATAGGGGTAAGAAAGTGAGCGAATCGAACAGGTGCGGAAACTCTTGCATAATAAATAATGAAACTATATAAAAAATAAGAAAAAGATTACATGGGGGGATAACATTTATGTAAGGTAGTAAATAGGATTAAATTAAGAATGAATAATTTTGGATAAATAAAATGGTAACTGTTTTCTATGCTCATGTGTATTAAAAACATATAATTATTTTTGGTTTATGACGGATCATGTTTTTATACTTAATCACTGATATCCCCGATAACATGTAGATATACTCATAATGAAATAAATAATAAACCTTGACATGCATCATTATAACTATCGGTATACACAATACTAGTTTTCTCATCACGATGTTACTGGCAGAATAATTTTAATATTAAAATTATACTATACAAGTTGTTAGANGTCATGATCCGAGGAAAACTGGTTCCCTCCGCCAGAAACGTTATCTTCCTTCCTCGGCGACTCTTCGCCAACTTGCCGTAGTTATGATAATATCCCCCGAAGAAATAAATGAAAATACTAGTTATTACGATTAAAAAATATAATATTACTAATAAATATGTTATAAATATTAGTACACTTACCTTACACAGAAAACAGAATTTTTCAATAGACTAATGTCTATTACGTAAGACTGACTGAGGAAATGCGCATGCGCAATATAAAGATATGCACGTGACGTCACGATCTTTGTTTACAATCAATTGGGTGGCGAGCACTCTAGCCTGTTTCGATATCCCCTATGGGGCACGGGCGCGTGACGTCACGATCTTTGTTTACAATCAATTGGGTGGCGAGCACTCTAATGTAAGTCTATGGGATTTTGATGTCATTTTGTAATAAATTAGCAAATTTTATATTTTCCTTAAATTATTGAAGTATTAACGGTCGATTTTCGTGTAGAATGGAGTTCTAATAAACTTTATAGTAAGTTTTGGCTAAGTTGTGACAGTTTTTATACGAAAAAAAATCGGATTTTTATGGGTGGTGAGTAAGTTCTGTTTCATTTTGCAGATGTTGTTTATTATGATACATACTAAATATAATTGTTGATTTTTTTGTTTAGATCTTAATAAATTAGATTAACTGTGGCGTCTGCTTCATAAATAAGTCAGAATAATAGTCAATTTTTTTTTTAAATATGATGAAATAGCTTTGTTTTATGATTATTATCTTCTGGGTGGCAGAATTGAAACTTTAATATCTTGCTGACATTTTTAGGAATACACGTTATTATTTTATTCTTATATCTACTAAAAGTAGAATTAATTTATTTTTATGTATGTCCCAATAATAATAATATATTTTAGTAAGGTTTTGATAATTGTGTAACAAAAATCGTACGTTCTGTGGGTGAGTGCTTTCTCCTTAAAAATAGTGTTTGTTTTGAATCAAATTAGAAATAGTTGTTGTTTTTTACGTACGATTTTAATTAATTATAATGCCTGTATTATAGATAGGTTCAAATAATGATAAAGATAATGCTTCAGTATGTTTAAATTGCTTTGTTTTTGTTAAATTGCTTCTGGGTGGCAGAGCTTTGAATGAATGGATTTTTCTGATATTTTTGCTACTATACATTATTATTTAATTCTTTTGTTTATTAACAGTAGAATTTATTTATTTTTTGAAATGTCTTAAATCTATTAAAATAATTTAGTTAGGTTTTGATAATTGTTTAAAAGAGTCTTTTGTTCTGCGGGTGAGAGTGTGCTCTCTCCTTAGAGATGTTTGTTTTGATTCATATAAGAAACAATTCTGGTTTTTTGCATTAGATATTAATTGAGTATAATGCCTGTATAATAAATAAGGCAAAATGGGCATACAAAAATTTGCTACAGTGTTTAAATTGCTTTGTTTTTGTAAATAAACTTCCGGGTGGCAGCTTTGAGTGAATGAATTTTTTCGATATTTTTAATAACACACATTATTATTTAATTCTTTTGTTTTTTAACTGTAGACTTAGTTATTTTCTTTAAATGTACTAAGCTTCTTAAAATGTTTTAATCAGGTTTTGATAAAATTTGTGAAAGAAGTCTTGTATTGTGCAGTTGAGCTTCGAATATAAGGATTAAGATGTTATTTTCACAAATACTCATTATTATTTAATTATTTTGTTTATTAGGAGTAGAATTAATTTATTCTAAACATATATACCAAATATTTTCAAATGTTTTAATTAGGTTTTGTTAATATTTGTGAAAGAAGTCTTTTATTATGTGGTTGAGCGTGCTTTCTCTAACGATAATATGTTATGATTCATATTAAAAATAGTTTTTGATTTTTTACTTAAGATATTAATTAAGTAGATAAAATATAATGCTTGTTTCATAAACAGAGCAAAATAATAAACAAAAATTTTTTAATGTGCATTAAAATTGATTTGTTTTTATTAATGAACTTCTGGGTGGCAGAGCTTCCAATAAGGATTTTGCTAATATTTTCACAAATGCACATTATTATTTAATTATATTGTCTATTAAGAGTAGAATCAATTTATTCTATGTATCAAATTTTTTCAAATGTTTTAGTTAAATTTTGATGATATTTATAAAAAAAAAATTCTTATTTTTAGGTTAGTAGGCTCTCCCCTTAAAGATAATGTTTGTTATAATTCATATAAGAAATAGTTGTTCATTTTTTACTTCAGACATTATTTAGTAGATTACGTATAATGCCTGTTTCATAATTCTCCCTCACACTTGTTTCCTTTCAATTTAGGATGCAACTTTGTACGGAGAAAACAATTCAAATGAAATTGTTAAGAAGCAGATGGAATTATTTAAAGCAAGACATGATGAAATGAATAATATTATTCAATTGGATCTTCAAAGGATGCAGAATGGCTCAGTGGGGCTTTAGTGAGGAAACGTGTTTCTTATTTAATATCAAGTATCTTTCCGCCTATTGCCCCTTCTAAGCCGCATCAATCCTTAAGGAAACTCATGAAGACTTTTTTCAAAATTAAGTCTGACTTTAAGGTACTCCACAACACGGTGATAGCATAGTATGAAGGAGCGTATGTTTGTATTGATCTGTTTTCTTTAAATTTTCTTAAAATTTACTAGTCATTATGCATGTTTGTCTCAAACTGTCTATTAAACAACATTGAATTTAGTGTAGGATTTGTATGCTTTCCTGCCAGTATAATGCATCAATTGTAAATAAAGGGGAAAGAAACAAAAATGTAAAGAAATGTATTTAATAATTAAAGGTTTATTGTAAAATAATTTCTATTCTTGCTTTCAGAATTTAAGCTATATAATATTTTATAACCCAATTATGTTGAAATAATAATTTTTCTTCGAAAATTATTATTTAAATAATTAGTTAAATATCCATGAAGAAGAGGTTTGAGAAAAATATATAGTAGAGAACCATTTATCCGGTATCCAGATAACCGGGAAACCAGAAAACCGGGAAAAATTTTGCTCGATTTTCCCGCCATTTTAAACTAGAACGATTTTAAACTAGAACGGAAAAAGCGGAAATTGGACTCATCCTTGAAGTTGAGTAGAGGAAAATGTAAGGAAGGGGAAATTTTTTTTCCCCGTTTACCCAGAGAAACGTCATTTCCTCCGTGACCTTGAAGGCAGGAAAGGGAGGAATGTTTTATTTTTCCTTTAGGCCGTCAATCAAACTCTATTTTATCATTAGGTTGTTTTTTTTTTAACTCTGTTGATCTTGCCTTGTTCCGGGTTTTAATATTTATGCTAGTGCCTTTTTTAACTATCGTTTCGGTTCGATAATTTTCAAGTGTTTTTTATTTAGATTAATAAGTGTCGACGCTCAGGTAAATATGAACTCGCTCAATAAACAAGAAGAAGCTGACTGTATATTTGCACAATATTTATTTATTATTTGGAAGAGAGCTTTTTTGTAGCTCGTTACAGCTCTCCTTCCACACACACTCTCTCTCTCTCTCTCAGTGTTACAAGTTATACTAGGTGGCGCTACAAATCCGTGCGGATACATACCGCCGGGCGTTGCATTGTTTTAACAATCAACAATATTACTACAACTATTACACAATATTACTACTATTACACAAATATTACTATACTAACAATTACTATTACACAATAAATTTCACATGATTATGAAAAGTAATATAAAGTTTTTAAAAGAAATATTCATTCAATTGGCAATAAACAAATCTTGGAAATGGGCCTTTTAAAGATTCCTTAGTTTGTTTTAATTCTACAAACACGAACTGTGCCATCCTTTCCCGGAAAGACCTCCACAATGCTACCAATTGGAAAATTACATATAGCTAA